AAAAAAAAAAATCTATAACTCGAAAGGTAGTTAAATTCTGCTACGTCATATAGGTAGTCCTCAATTATTACAAGCGGGATTGGAATTTAGGTAGCTAAGAAATGTGCTAGTTGTGAGATGTCATGTGACCACTTCACTTAGCGACTGCAATCCTGGCACTCCTGGCTGTTATTCTTAAGTGAGAATTGCAGGCCGTTAAGCAGAGTCCCAGGGAAGGAGCATGGGGGTGCCTCAGGGCGAGTGGGACAGGTCCTGGGTGACGAAAGACAGGCCACGTGCAAGTTGGGGGGTGCTGCAGTGCGGCACAAAGCAACAGCTTTCCCTGGGATCCTCAGCCGCCCAGCCCGGCCCAGCAGCACTTATGACAGCAGGGACACTGCAACTCCCCCCAAGTGCCACTGTGTAGGGCAGCCAAAGGACATAGATGGGGCGGGAGATAGGTGGGTGGGGGGAGTTACAGTGCCCCTGTAGTCATAAGTGTGGGCAGGCTGCCAAGTGCTTGAATTTTGATCACGTGACCACAGAGCTGCTGCAACAACGGCATCTTCAGGCACAGGGCATAAGTCCATTTTTTTCAGCATCGTCATAATTTCAAATGGTTGCTGAATGAATGGCCGTTAGGCTAGGACTACCTGTCTGCCAAATGCCCAGGTGAATGATTGATATGCCAGTTAATTTTACTAGTTGTTCTTTTTTATAGGTAACCAGTTCTATACTATTGAGTTTTATTTTGTACCGGTCCTTGAGCACAATATAGGTGCTTTACTTGACTTACAAACAGTTCAAATTATGCTCGCTATCCAAAATAATGCAATGAACATCTACAGATGGGACTCAAATAAGAAAGTAGCAATTTCCTTAAATCTGCTGCTGTGTATCTCAGTTTCTCAAGTGTCTTTAGCAGTGGTGGGGTGGCTTCGAAACTCAGCGATGTCTTCAGAATTATATTTAAATTGATGTCTGTATAATTTCACCCACGTTAATTAGAATGAGGAACTACCCAGTTTCTTTCCAAATCTCTCCTAACCACATCTTCAAGGATCTGATAATTATGCTTC